AAAGACAAGGGAACCAGCAGTTAGCGTAATGGCTATGTCGCTGGACTCCCACGTAGTCGACCGCGGTTCGCGTCCTGGACCCGGTGGCTTAAAACTCACGCCGGGCGCATGTGCGTGCGTGCCCAAGATCCCTGAGAGGAGAATGGAGGAGAAGGGATTGTGGCGTGACCATCCCCCCTGGGAGGTGATTTCTCGCTTTCTGTCTCTCTGTCTGTCTCTGTCTGTCTGGTGAGCACACACGCCCTATAGCGAAAACCTCTCAAAAAATAAATAAATAAATAAAAAGACAAGCCATAGATTGGCAGACGATATTTGCAAATTTTTGGTAATGCATCTAGAGAATAGAAAGTCACAAAGCTGAGTAAGTGAACCAGTCTGCCCATGTAAAAGATGGGCAAGATATTTGAGAGGACGCTGCCCTGGAGAAGATACAGAAACAACAACTCAGTGTATAAGGTGTTCTCCATAGTTAGGAAGATGCAAACTAAAACCACAATGACATACTTATTAGAATGACTGAAATTGCGGGCCAGCAGGTAGCGTAGTGGTTAAGATGCTGGACTCCCATGGTCTACTGTGGTTTGAGTTCCGGACCCAGTGGCTTGAAACTTATGCCAGCACGTGTGCATGTGTGCTCAAAGTCCCAAGAGGAGATTGGAGGGAAAGGGATTGCAGCATGGCAGTGGCTGCTGTGTGTGCGTGTGGTGGGGAGTGACTTGGTGGGGTGATTGCTCGCTTGCTTGCTTGCTCGCTCGCTCTCTCTGTCTCCGGCAAGCACATGTGCCCAATAGCAAAAATCTCTCTCTTTTTTTTTTTTTTCCCAAAAATTTTTTAGAGGTTTTTTGCTATAGGGTGCCTATGTTCACCAGAACGACAGAGACAGACAGAAAGTGAGAAATCACTCCTCAGGAGGCATAGCCACGCCTCAATCTCTTCATTCTCCTCTGGGGATCTTGGGCACATGTGCACACGCGCCCGGTGTGAGTTTAAGCCACCAGGTCTGGGACTCAAACCACAGTTGACTACATGGCAGTCCATTACGCCACCTGCTGGTCCCACGACAATCTCTTTAAAAAAAAAACAAACATCTAAAGTTAAAAACATCATGCCGTGTATGCTGAGGATGCGAAAGAGCTGGAACTCTACTCTGCTGAAGGAAATTTGAGACGGTGCAGTTACTTTACAAAATACTTTGTATTAGGTCGTTAAGAAAGTCATGACAGGTTTTTCTGTTTTTCTATGCAAAAAGGCATCCTGACTTTCCTACTACCCAGTATTTAGTGCTCCTGGTTATTTACCCAGAGAAAGCGAGCACATGTCCCTCTGAAGACGTGTTTCTGAGTGCTCATCGCAGCTTGACTTGCCCATCAGCAGGTGAATGGAGAGAAAAGTTGATTATCCATACAGTGGGAAAATGTCCAGCAGTAAAAAAATTAATCTGTTCATAAGACATATGGGGACATCTCGGAAGAGTTACGGGAGTAAAGTAGACTATCCACGTACCGTGTGATTTTACCTAAGCTAGAAAATGGAGGGGATCTATAGAAATCTAGAGAAGGTCATGGGAGTAGGGGATTAGAGTAGAGGGATTTGAAAAGGGCACGAAGAAATGGTAGATGTGTTCAGTAGCTTGTTCTGGTTTGCCGTGGCATACTTAGTTCAAAACTCAGCAAATTGGACACTTAAAAAAATTATTTTGAGAGATTTTTGCTTTAGGGTGTGTGTGCCCCCAGAGAGACAAAGTGAGAAATCACCCGCCGGGGTGATGCCCATCCTGCAATTCTTTCTCCACACACCTCTTGGGATTTGGGACATGCATGCGTGCGTACACACACACACACACACACACACACACACCCATCAGTTTCAAGCTGCTGGGTCCAGGACCCAGGGTTGACCATGTGGTAGTCCAGCGCTTTAACCACAGCTGGCCCCTTTTTAAAAACTTTTAAGAACACTCTCCTCCCCCCAATTTTTTTGTTTTGTTTTGTTTTGTTTTTCCCATCTAGAATACACTTTTTTTTTTTTTTTGCTACGGGATGTGTGCACTCGCTGGGAGAGAGACAGAGACAGAGGGAAAGTAAGAATCGCCCTGCAGCCACAGTCTCGTCTCTCAGGATTTGGGGCAGGCACATGTACACACCCACCTAGCATGATTTTCTAGTCACCTGGTTCAGGACTTGACCTGTGCGGTTGGCCATATCGTATCCAGCACCTTAACCTCCAGGCTTTTGATGACTTCTGCTCCCACTTCCCTGACAAGATAGATGTAGAGGGGAAGTGTCACAGGTCCACACCCTCAAGCCTGCTCTGACGTGTGCTGGGCCCCACTTGCCAGTTTGCAGAGCTCCCTTAGAAAGATTAGTTTGTGGTACGCGCTGAAGGGAGCCTGCCCTTGCAGACCGTGGTGTGCATGGTGCCCCTGAGCCCAGGGGCCGGCTGTAGGGTTGCTCAAGGCTGCTGCTCGGAAGTCCCACCCCTCCCTTTCACCTTCCATGTCTCTGTGGTCATTCCCATCATATTCCCA